GGGCGGACTGCGAGCCGCTCCTCGTGCCCGCGCCCGGTTGCTCTCGCCCCGCCAGGAAACCCGGCGCTCTGCGCCCGAGAGATTAAGAGTTGTTTGCCGAAGGTCGTGCGGGCACGGGCGTTTGCAAACAGTTTAAACACTGGGAACAAACACGCCCGGAGAGCGGGCAGGGGAGTTGCGCCTCCCGGGTTTGACGTTGCGGAACCTTGCCCCGCTTTATCGCGCTCGCCGCCCCAGGGCGGCGCCAGCTGGGGGGCAGAGGGGTAGGAGGCTGCGGCGCAGCCGGTGCGCACCGCGAACTTGCCCTCTGGCCCTGCGTTCCCGACCAAGCTGGGCTCGTGGGTCCTGCCCGGGGCGAGGGGAGCCGCGCAGGGACCTCGTGCTCACCGTCACCCGAAACGCCCTCGGCTTAAACGCCCACGCCTGTTGGGGTCACATGGCCAAGGTCAAATGGAGAAGTCTCGTGGGCTTGGAAAGTGGTCAATCTTGTGCCCACCCTAACCTTTCATGTCCCCCAAAGCCTTCTCTTCACACCTCACCACAGAGGAAGTCTTGTGACGGTGACAGACGGTAATATTTAAAAGCTTGAAAAGCTTTTACCACATAGCCCAACAAAATTACCACAGTCAAAAAAAGTTACAAAACAATTCATGAATGATAGGCCTTTTTTTAAGTGATGAGAAACATATAAAAGGAGAACCACCAAAATATTAATAGCTGCAGAATCATGAAGGTATTTTATCTTATTGTTTTATGTATCTATTAAATCTACAATGTATTTACGAGAGTAATTTTAAAAGAATTGTTACAAAAACATAGAAACCTTTACTAAGCAAAAATATCAAAAAACGTGAAGCTGTTGTTTCTTAAGATCCCCCTTCTAGGTCTGAAGGCGGTGTGACCCTTCCCATAGCAGCCCTGGAGATGCAGCGGGTCACACGTGGGACTGTTCACAGCAAGCTCGGCCTCCGGGACCCACCTCCCCTCCAAGGGAGAAAGGTAAGCTTTTCTGCTCCTAGAAAGACTTACAGCCTGAGTCAGGACTGACTCAGTGACAGTGGGTTTTTTTTTTCTTTTCATTTTGATACTATTTTTTTTAAACATTTTATTAGGGGCTCATACAACTGTTATCCCAATCCGTACACACATCAATTGTGTAAAGCGCATTTGTACATTGTTTCTCAAAACATTTTCTCTCCATTTATACCCCCGACATTAGGTCCTCATTTTTCCCCTCCCTCCCCGCTCCCCCCTCCCGCGTGAGCCCTTGATAGTTTATAAATGGGTATTTTGTCATATCTTGCCCTGTCCGACGTCTCCTTTCATCCACTTTTCGGTTGTCTGTCCCCCAGGGAGGAGGTCACACACAGTTCCATGTAATCGGTTCCCTCTTTCCTACCACTTCTCCCTTTACCCTCCCTGTTTTGCCACTCACACCACTGGTCCTATAGGGCTCATCCGTCCTGGATTCCCTGTATTTTCAGTTCCTATCTGTACCAGTGTACCTCCTGACAGTAGGTTTTGTTAACCTTCTCGGGAAGAATTCTGTTCTTACATTTGTGCCATGTCAAAAGACAATTTT